GGAACATTGTTAGTATAGGAGTATGAGGTTCTTCCAGGGTGTCTTCTCATAGCTGAGCCTCTGCTGATTGTGTCTACCATGAAATGTGTTCTTTTCTGAGGAAGCGTAATATGAAAACTTCAGTTGTATACAAATAACTTAAAAATTGGCCTGTCTAGAAACTGGTAACATTAGCTAAGTTTCTTTTATCTGTCATACAGGAACAATAACTTAATGCCCAAAGCATAAGTAGTGCATTTAGAGTAGTTTTAAGGCACATCATCTGAGCATAGTCTTTAACTCCCTCCTATATTTTATTTTCATTTTAGTTCTTTTACAAAGCTTCCTCATCTGGCAGGAACAGAACAAATTTCTTGCTTGCCAAGGAAATCCAAACCCAGTGGAAGAAATTTGGACTAGATTCAGCCAAGTTGGTTCATTACGATGTCCTCTTATCTTACCCCAATGAGAACATGCCAACTATATATCGATTGTGGATGAACATGAACTGAGGTATGTGAAATTGTTGGTACTTTTTATGTTTTACAATCTGACTATTTTATGTGGATTGTAATGTAGGTGTCAAGTAAAAGTAGACATTTGTTAATAGTGAATTATTCAGTATCCATTATGTGTTTGACATGGTGTTAAGTCCTGAGGCCAGTTTCTATTATTAGGAAGACAATAATAATGATAAGGCTCTTTCTCATTGTTGTCAGTGTAATTTATCTATTTAATTATAGAACCTAGTTCCAGGATGCTTAATCTGAAGTATATACTTGGAGGCAAAATGAATTATATCTTAATAATAATCTGGAATTTTTCTCTCCAACTTGACATGTTCTAATTCTTGCTAGATTTTCAAAACATCATACTTCGAACCAACACCAGATGGCTACGAGAATGTTACAAATATTGTTCCACCATATAATGCTTTCTCAGCCCAAGGCATGCCAGAGGTAAAATAAAATACATTTGTAATCCAAGTCTTTAAATGATTCTTTTGCTATATAAAATCTGTATAGAGGACTAAAACCAAGGAAATTAGGCGAATCATACATGCTGATCCATTGTTTAATATTCAGTACTATGAAAACCTCATCCCCCAATTAAAAAAATTATAATACAATAGAAAAGAACACCAGAGAAAAAAGAAACAAAACAATACATTAAAAACTGATCCTGCTGAAGCAGATGCCACTCTTTGAAACAAAAAAGAAACTGCTGAACACGCTTTTAATTCAGTGAGGCAGTAGGTGTTTTTTGTTTGTTTTTGTTTTGTTTTGTTTTTTTGAGACGGAGTTTCGATGTTGTCACCCAGGCTGGTGCAGTGGCGCAATCTCGGCTCACTGCAACCTCTGCCTCCCGGGTTCAAGCAATTATCTTGCCTCACCTCCCTATCTCTCTCCACAAAACAAGCTCGCCTCGGCCTCCCAAAGTGCTAGGATTACAGGTGTGAGCCACCGCGCCCAGCCGGCAGTAGGTGTTTTTACAAGCTTCTTTCCATTGTTAATAGTTTGAATTTTTTATAGATTCATAGATAGGATTTTATAGATCATACCATAGAGGTTCTTAAGGTAATGCAATGGTTGGAAAGTAAATAAATATAGTTAGGATCTTTAAAATGACATTTATTTACTCTATTCCCTGTGGCTTAGCATACACTGATAATTTCTTCAACACAGGATACACTGTTTAAATATGTCTGGCTGAGTGCGGTGGCTCACACCTGTAATCCCAGCACTTTGGGAGGCTGAGGGGGGCAGATCATTGGAGGCCAGGAGTTCAAGACCAGACTGGCCAACATGGTGAAACCCCATCTCTACTGTTAAAAAATACAAAAATTATCTGGGCATGGTGGCGCGTGTCTGTAATCACAGCTACTCTGGTCGCTGAGGCAGAATCGCTTGAACTCAGGAGGTGGAGGAGGTTGCAGTTAGCCGAGACAGCACCACAGCACTCCAGCCTGGATGACAGAGTGAAATTTCGTCTCAAATATAATAAATAAATAAATAAATAAGTCTTATACATTGTCATTTTTAAAAACCTTTCCAAGATTTTAAAAGATTCTCTAATGACTTCTGCATAATTACCGTGGGTCTGTTTATTATTCCCAAAATAAAGAAAGGAAACACTTTTGATGATGTAGTATTGTGAAGCAAACTTATTTTTTGTTTTTTTTTCTTGAATTTTAGCAGTATTATATATATTTTCTTTTCCCTATAGGGAGATCTTATATATGTGAACTATGCTCGCACTGAAGACTTTTTCAAACTAGAAAGAGAGATGGGCATCAACTGTACTGGGAAGATTGTTATTGCAAGATATGGAAAAATCTTCAGAGGAAATAAAGTACAGTATTATTTGTTTTTCTACAGAGAATGAGAGGATATATATATTCTGTAAATGTAAATGACCAACTTGCTTCTCAGTTTCCAAATTGCTTTCAAACATTTCTTTTCTTTTTTTTTTTTTCCTATTTGCCATGGGTACACAGAAACTCATGTTTTTATGTTTTCTCACATACCTGGAAAAGAAAATTATTTTTTAATCATTTTTATTACAAAAGTAATATTTGCTTTTTGAAATTTAATTGAAGGAAATTTATATAAAGTAAAAAATGAAGAGCTCCCCTGCATTACCCACTTCATTATCCAGATATAATCAATCTTAATAGCTTTTCTCAAATCTAATTATGTGGAATATAAATACATCTGTCCCTATATGCCCATTTTACATATATTTATTTATTAACTTTTACGTTGTATATTACAAGACTTAATTTTTTTCATTCAGCCAAGACTCATATTCTTCATGTCCGCACATTGAGAGTTATGTAACATATTGGTTAAGAGTATAGAACCCTAGATCCGTATCACTTGGGTTCTGGTCTAGATCCTATTCTTTCTAGATCTTTTACTGTTACTTAACGTATTAAGTAACAGTAAGCATGTTAAGTTAAGCATGTTACTTAACTTCTCGGTTGCAAAGTTTCCTCATATATAAAATGCAAATGCCAGTAATAGCACCAATCTCATAGAGTCCTTATTGAATGACTTTGTTTGAAAGCACTTAGGATAGTGTCTGGTACATATCATTTTTAAATGTCTATTCACCCTATTACGGCTGAGGGTGTTTTTGAAAACATGGAACCATGTCTTCTTAATTTTTAAACTACTCTAAAATCTTGCAAATCATAGAGTAAGCATTCTACAAATATTTATGGAACTAAACTGATTTAAAATTGTATGCAGAGCAGTCATATATTTTGCGAAAAATGGCCCAGGGCTTTTGTAAACATCTTTTCTAACAATTAAACTGGCCAAGGGAATAGGAAAATGTACCCTATGAGATACTAAATTCTTCTTACCAAAAGTATTGTAGCAGAAGATGGATAACAGTCTTGATTCATAAAAATGGCATTCCGAATATTTAGAGAGCACCCTGTTATATCACTCAGAGGTATATCTGTCACAAACTTTTTGAAGGAAAATGATGATGTCTATCAAAATTTGGAAAGAATATACACTATTATTTAGCCATTTAATTTCTATGAATCTATACTACAATAATCTCACACAAATTTCTGAAGCATATATTGACAAGGATGTCACAATTAAATTATTTGTAGTAGTAACAAATTCAAGATGAAGACAAACGTCATCAGTAGATGGAATGGTTAAATAAATGCTTGTCAATTCTGTGAAATATGATGCCATCATTTAAAATAGTGAGGTAATTAATAAGAAGTTATATAGAAATACTAA